CACCGGCTCCGGGTTGACTCAGCCTTCCATCCCTCCCAGGGGGGGAAAATGAGGACCCCGATTGGTTGGGGGAATATGCTGACTCTCTGTAAACCGCTTAGAGAGGCCTGAAAGGCCTATGAAGCGGTATATAAGTCTACTGCTATTGCTATTGCTATTGCTAAATTTCATATTGGCTGAAACCTGTAATTTGGATTTTGCTTCTGCTGAACCATAGCTGTTCCAGAATTTTGGCAGAACTTCTGGTACAGAATGTATTTGTTTTGAATGTCCAAACATTTTCTATTTCATGCACACCCATAATGCTTTTTGTACCTGCTTAACCTAACAAAGAAGAAAGCGTAAAATACAACATTTTCTTTGTTTCACTAGTGACTGTTGATGAAAATTAGTTTTCAATATCTGGATGATATAACGGAGAAATCCAAAAATGTAACTTCTTTTTTTCTACTATATTGATGATTTCTTCTGTTTAACATTACATTTTGCTTTTATGCATCTCTTAATCACAGAAAAAAATGAATTTTCATGAATTCCCCAGCATTTTTGGATTTAGCTTGGTCTAGGATGCTTAGTTTCCCAGCTGAAACTATAGTTGAGTCTGTCCACATCTTGTAAGATTATGAAGTTTTCATCCAATCTTCTAAGTGCTAGTTGGTGTTAATGGATTCCTTTGCTAATCTTCTGAATATTTGTCCTACAGTTAGCTGTTATAGTCCTTACACTGTATGTTGTAGACAGTGGTGGGTTTCAAAAAACTTTAGAACCTCTTCTGTAGGTGTGGTCTGTTTTGTGGGAGTGGCGTTGTAGTCATGTGACCGGGTAGGAGTGGCTTGGCAGTCATGTGACCAATGGGCATGGCCAACTTGGAAAATGTGGTGAAGCTTACTTAACGATGCTCTTGCTTAGCAACCAAAATTTTGGGCTCAATTGTGGTCATAAGTTCTCTTTTTTTCTCTTTCTTTCTTTCTTTCTTTCCTTCCTTCCTTCTTTCATCTCTCTCTCCCACTTTCTCTTTCTTTCTTTCTTTCTTTCTTTCTTTCTTTCTTTCTCTCTCTTTTTCTTTCTGTCTCTCTCTGTGTCTGTCTGTGTCTCTCTCTTTGTGGCTCTCTCTCTCTCTCCCTCCCTCTCTGTCTCTCTCTGTCACTCTCTGTGTTTGTGTGTCTGTCTGTCTGTCTGTCTCACTCATTCACTTAATCACTCACTCTGTGTGTGTGTCTCTGTGTGTCTGTCTGTCTGCCCTCCCTCCCTCCCTCCCTCCCCATCTCTCTCTATCTCTCTCTCTGTGTCTATCAGCCTCTCTCTGATTCCCTCCCTCCCTCTCTGTCTCTCTCTGTGCCTCTGTCTGTCTGTCTCACAGACACACAGACACACAGACACACACACATATACTGTGGTCACCTTGTTGAGTGTTCCAATCACATTTGAAACACTCAACAACTGGCCTGCATTTATGGTATTTTGCAGCATTCTGCGATCATAGGACCAAAATATATGGTTAAAAGTACCTGGCAGTGGCATTTTTCCCGGGGTGGCTCCACAGAACATCCCAAGACAAAGGCCTTGCAAGGTCACCAAACTTGCCAAAGACACCAGCCGCACCGCGTAAGCTCCTGCCGCCGTCCCCACTCCTGCGCCTGTGCTTGCTGGCGGCCATGCGGCCCTGCGCTATAAGCAAGCCCGGGATCCTTGCAAGGCTGCAAAAGGTCACTGGACTCGCTTATAGTGCAGGGCCGCGGCAGGCTGCTCCAGCTGGCCTGCCCCCCCCCCCTTTGTTGCAGCTTACTTACCTCCTCGGCAGGCAGCAATAGAGAGCCAAGCAGGAAAAAAGGTAAATGGGTTTAGATAGGGCTCTTAGAGGCGGGCGGGGTGATTGGTGAGCCAGCCAATCAGTGAGCGGCGGGTGGGGCAAGCGTGGTGCGGACGGGTGGGGGGAGGGAGCTGGAACTGGTTCTAAATGGCATGGTAGATTTGTGGAACCTCTTCTATAGAACCAGTTAGAACCGGCAGGAACCCACCCCTTGTTGTAGAGGACTCCTGCTTTTTTTCTTGAGCTACTTGATCTTTCGGTTTACTTAAAATCTTTTGGAGGGTTTGTGTTATACAGTGATGTTGTTTGGCTGTAATAGTCTGTTGCCTGTTTCTGTCATTCTTTTTTAATGTATGGTTGTGTATTCTTTTTCATAGCTTGTGTTGGTTATGCTTTAGTAGGTTGAGCAATCTGTGGTCTAAATTTTTGAAACTTTATCAAAAATTGCATGACTGCTCAAACACTCAATCCACAACAGCTTAATATTCTTGTACCGGTATATCTTGGAAATAAGACAAATGGATTCAATCTATATGTTTTTGATATTCTTCTCAGAGTCATGCAGTCTTTTAAATAAGCCATAAAGCGATAATAACAGAATTTAGTCCAGAATTTCAAGCAACAAAGAGAAAAAGGTATGTAGGTACCTCTTCCAGTCCAAAACTTCAGAGAAAGGAAGAACATAAGAATCCGCTATGACAACAGGGATGCAACCAGCCTGAAGAACATCACTCAAAACAGCTTGTCCTAAACGTGCTCCCCGCAGAACAATACAGAATGTGGCTTCCTGTGGACAAAGACCCACAAAATAGTCATAATTGTCTTTCTATTATCTTATTAAATTAAAACTAATACCTGGCTTATTCATCATCTTATGTTTAGGAAACTGGATTTCATGATTATATATATAAAATACATACAGGGGTTTCCTTCTTCATATTAATTATGATAAATGTTAATTACAATTTTGAAATACTAAACTAATACCCCAACCATCCCTTTCCAGAATTATTTCAGTCTCTTCAAGTGACACCATTTGTCTCTCAGATGCTCCCATCTCACCAGGAAAAAAAAGAACCCCCATACGTGGCAAACATGTACACCAGAAACTCTGGTATACACATGTATACCAGAGTTTCCTGTATTAAAGATACCATATTTAAAAAGGTTCATAAGATGCCTACAGATTTGCATTTTTAAACACATAAATACTAGCGTCTGAGTCAGGCTGCAATGTTGAAAACATAAGAAAGGCAGTTTGGTGTAGAGGTTAAGAATCAGGCCAGGAGACTGTTGTAATTTCTAGTCTCACTCTGGGCATAAAGCCAACTGGATAACCTTAGGCCAATCACTTCTCTCAGCCCTAGGAAGAAGGCAATGGCAAATCCCAAGCAGTCTGTGGGGTCAAAAATTAAGTTGAAAGTACAAAAACAAACACTCAATTACTTTACTCAGATCCAGACTTTTCATGGGGAAAAAAAAGTTCTGCTCATGACTCATTCACCTGACTCAGTGAATGAGACATGAGCAGAGGTATTTTTTTCCATGGAAGTTCAGGATCTGACTTAAAACAATTGAGTGTTTGTTTTTTGGAGTTGGGAGAAGTTGAGATTTCAGTAACCTTTCCTTTCTTTCAAAATTCTGCTCCAGAAAATAGCTTGAATCCCTTAGAAGAATATCAAAAATGATAGGAAGATTAGGTTGGAAGGATCCTGTCAATTCCATATTCTGCCAGACTCCTTAATTAGGTCTCAAAAACATCTGCTCACCCATAAAACCTTTACACTCCAAGAAGAGTAACAATGCACCAAACTCATCATGTAAAATCAGTGAAAGGCTGTATAATAAATCTAATGCTTCAGATCTACAGCAGAAGCCCTCATAATTTTAAAAATAAATCATACTCTCTTGTAACCAACAAGAAACAATAGGAACAAAATGCAGCATTACCTGAAGGACCTGAGGGTAATCAAACACCAGGTTTTTATAGCAACGTTTTCGAATAAATGGAATTCCCTCCGAAAGGTTACTACACTTGTCCAAGATTAGCACAGATTCTGTATTTTCTGCTTGAAGAGCCTCCAGTTCTGAACGGTATTCAGGATGAAGAGCAATTTGGGAGGAGAGGAGAAAGTATCTGCGGAGGCTGAAGAAGACACAACAATTGGAACCATACAAATTTAGAAGTATATTCATTAGGCAATTGAAAATGCACTTCTTTATGCTGCCAAGGACTTGGGCATGGTGGTAGCACACTGATTAGAATGCAGTATTGCAGGCTAATTGTTGCTGATTGCCAGGAATTTGGCAGTTCGGATTCCACTAGGTTCAGGGTTGACTTGGCCTTCCATCCTTCTTAGGTCAGTAAAATGAGGACCCAGATTGTTGGGGGAAATATGCTGACTTTGTAAACATCTTAAAGAGGGTGTAAAGTACTATGAAGCAATATATAAGTCTAAGTGCTATTGCTATTACTAAACAAACATAGTCATATATTTGTTCACCTCTGGTTTTTGGTGCACTAACAATATGATAGTTGGAAAAAATTATGTATCAACTCAATTGTGAAAACATTATTAAATAAGTTGAATAAGCAAAATGCAGTAGGTAGTGCAGTTAAAAATACATACATTTGATCTTTACACTTGAACACAATGTGAGCCACTAACATCAATGAATCATGAATGAGTACGGTGGGACTGCAGACAAACTATATCACTCTCTGAATTTACTGGTGTCATTCTGAATGTATTCAGTTAAGCTTATTTTCAAGGATGTGGAGAATAGAACATTCTCCAATAAATATGATAAAGATTGTGATTAGAAGTGGTTTTGAAAAGATTAACATAAAATGCATCATGTTAGCCCTGACTTTCTACGCTTCCTCTTAAACTCTTTTATTGTTTTTTCTTTTGGTTAGATACCAACTTGTAAATATTATATGGGCAATAGAAGATGGAATTTGTTTTCCTGGTTATAGCTGAACTATCCCAGTTTTGTTCAGCAATTCTTCTATTCAAAAAAAAACAAAAAAGTAATACTTAATCAGGTAATTAATTTTTTAACAAAAAATGTAGGTGGCAAATGCGATCTATAAGCATAATTAAAAATGTATCATCTGATACATAAAACTGAATACATACCAATTCAGACTTAGAGGGAGTTACTATTATTTAACCAATAACAGTAACAGGAAGTTATAAATACAATAAAAATTAAGTTCCAATTTTCAAATGGAAAACTATAGCTTTAGAAGTAACGTTAATTTAATTTGCGGAACATTGCCACATGACAATACTATCAGCAGTCACATGTTTGTCTTATATAGGGGTTTAGCTTGTTGTCAGTTTTGGGATCATACCATTCTGATGGTATGCATCTTGATTCATCTTGAGAAACTAGCTCAGATTGAAATGATTTATAAATTTCATAAACAAACCAACACATTAGTATATTCTCAAAAGATGACAGGTCAGCCTACTAGAAAAGACATCTATTCTTCCCTCTGGGCATATGAAGCTGATTTAATTTAAGCCAGATCAGTTTTCCATATAACAGTGGATTGCCTATGAAAACGGAGCAAGATATCAAGTATTTCCTATTCTATCATCTTTCTTTAATAACTGTCTGTTACTTAAACTTGCAACTTTATAAGTCACCTGTAGGCAAATATTTTTTTTATTGTACTATTAAATGCCATTTCCTTGCTACTCAGACATGTAAAACGCATCAGTAAATTAGGTTTGCAACTACTGGCACTTAAAAGTCACAATTTATAATAAAAATAAAAATAAACTCATAAATTCCCAAAACAAATAATAATTGAAATATGAAGCAATGAACACAAGTATTAACTAAAGGGCATATGATTGAAAGCACTCTTTCAAAATAATCTATCAAACCTTCCCTGAGTAAGCTCAGTTTCCAATAAAAAGCTGAACCACTCGGAATATGCAACTCCAAGTAGAAAGAAGCCAGAAATTCCTTCCTTCACAATGTATTTTTCAGATTAAAAAATCTCATTGAATAATAATGAAAACTATACTGAATCTTTACACTTAAATAAATAGAACTATAAGCCATTAGACAATGTTCTTCATCTATAATACCTCACTCACTGCTTGTTATTTATTATGCCTCTTTCATAGTACACCGTAGATAGCTGTAGAAGTTAGTACAGTAGAGTGAAGAATAACTGAAATTGCCTCAAATGGGATTAAACTGGGTAGAACTGTATAAAAATGAAAATACCTTAAGTAAAATGAAAAAAAAAACTTTTAATGTTAACTTTAATATTAAAATTCTTTGCATTTTTTGTTATAGCACCTACCCTTGGAATATTGTCTTCCCAAAAGTAGATCGGCCCGGACCCTGCTGGCTTGGGGACTTGCATGAATGACACATTCAGTGCATGGTTATGGTGATTTGTTGTTGGTTGCTCTGTTTTTACCTCAGCTACTGATTATGTTCTTATGTTTAACTGCTTAAGCAGCCCAGAGTCATGAATTTAAGATAGGTGACGGTATAAATTGAAATAATAAATACACAAAATAAATAAACTGAGAGAGCCATTTTGGTGCAGTGGTTAAGGCATAGCCTATAAATTGGAAGACACTGACTTTTGTCTCGCTTAGGCATGAATTCAGCTGCAGATCCTCAGTACTAGAAAGAAGTCAATGGCCAACCACTTCTGAAAAACCTTGCCAAGAAAATTGACTCAAAGTCATAAACAAGTGAACTGCAAGGTAGATAAATATATCAGAATAACAGAGTTGGAAGGGCCCTTGGAGGTCATCAATGAAAACAGACTTTAAACATAAACTAGACTGCATATTTTGATTGTTAGAATTTTTAACAGTTTCTTTAAAAGTTTTACAAGTTCAAAGTTATTACGAATACAGCTCATAAATATAAACATGAATACATTTCATTTTACAGAATTCTATTTCGCTTTATAATATGAAAGTGGAAGTTACAACCTTCTGTTAAATTTGTAAAGACAAGAAGATGGAGAATTTGGGATGATAGAGCATGCTCAAGATGAATAGTTTAGATATAAATGTAAGGGACAAGGGAGAGGAACTGAATGTGATACAAAAATGAGCATGAAGTATTTCTGGAATTTTAGAAAGAGGTTTCTGGTTCTGAAGTATGCCTTCTAAAGACTAAAGCCTAATAATGCAAGCAGATCATAAAATAAGTGAGGAAATAAAGGCAGGACAATTGATATCTTCTATTATCTATTAAACATGGGAGATTCCAATAATATTTTAAAAAGAAAATGGCAGATTTTTCAAATATATATGAAATAGTAATGAGGGGAACTTTAGAAAATTAAAGTCTATTGGAAGATAAATTCCTGTTTGGTGCTTTCAATTCCTAAGTTGTCTTACTAATAATTTATTCTTCAAAGAACAGAAGAATGAATGAGAAAATGAGCTCTCCTTTATGCCAACCTATAGGAAAGAATTAGTCAATGAAGTGAAATTAACAGAAATATTAGTGAAAAGTGATCATGTAATACTGATTTTAAAGGAAAGGAAAGCCATATATAGTCAAAAACATTAAGTTTTTAAAAATGGATTTGAATAAATCATAGTAAGTATTATTGGATGGAAGCAGGAGTTAACATGTTTTCTTTTTGCCTATGTTATGTTATGTTTTTTCTATAGAATTAATGTTGCAAAAATAAAAGAAAAATAGAGCTGGCAAGAAAGTTCTCAAAAAGAAGATATGAAAATGTAGTTATAAATAATTCTACAGGAGGCAGCAAGAAAACATTAAAACAAATTGGTGAGGATGCCCCAATATTATAATGAAGATCTGAAAACATGCAAAGACATAATCATAAAATGGAAAGAGGAACAATTCTCTAAGGAAAAAAAATACAGTTTGGAACTGAAAAAATAAAAAAATAAAATTAATACTCAGAATGATCCAAAATTCAAGACTTGGCAAAGTATGTTAAAAATTATGGCTTCCTCAGTTAGGGTTATTAATAGGATTAACATAATAACAGAGCTGGAAGGACATTTGAGATCTTCTAATCCAATGTTCTGCTCAAGCAGGAGACCCTGTACCATTCTGGACAAATGGGTTGTCCAGTCTCTTCTCAAAAGCCTCCAGTGATGGAGTACCCATAACATGTGTCAAAACACAATAAAGTGAAAAGTATCCATATACTACTTGTTCAATGCAAAATGTTAATAGAAAAAAGTTAGTTACCCAATTCCTATTTGACTTGGTTTTCTCCAATAAAAGGGTGTGTACAATAATTATGAAGGAACAGATTGAAGCATGAGATTGATAGAACTCCTTTCAAGAAATACACAATTACTTTAAATGTGTTTAATCCAGAATCTGCTGAATTGCAGAAATTTTCGGATGAACCAATCAAATGGTTACATATTATCCCGGACAAGGAATGGAAAATGAATGAAGTACAAATAGTGTTCACACTTTCAAAATAAAGGAGGGTAATAGCAATAGCAATAGCAATAGCAATAGCAATAGCAATAGCAATAGCAATAGTAGTTAGACTTATATACCGCTTCATAGGGCTTTCAGCCCTCTCTAAGCGGTTTACAGAGTCAGCATATCGCCCCACAGTCAGGGTCCTCATTTCACCCACCTCGGAAGGATGGAAGGCTGAGTTAACCTTGAGCTGGTGAGATTAGAACCGCTGAACTGCAGATAACAGTCAGCTGAAGTGGCCTGCAGTACTGCACCCTAACCACTGCGCCACCTCGGGTAGAGAATTCAGAATTTATACAATCAGTCATTCTGACATAATATCAAAATATATTGAATATTTTAGCTCTCCAGTTCTAAATGAATGAAGGAGTACCAATATTAAGAGAATTTTACCAAATTCTGACCTGGCTGGCTGGCATTGTAAGCAAAAGCACAATTAACGTATTAGCTTACCCTTGTCCTTTATTTAGCAGTTGTACTTCTGCAGATAGGGGACTATAAACTGGAATACTGACATCATATCCTTGCCGATAGGTCCATGTAGAAAAACCACCTCCTGCCAACAGAGCTCTGAGGATGATAGAAAGAAAATACCAGATTCACATGTTTTTTTCTTCTTCAAATGCTCATTCATTTAAGGATTTAGATAATCAGAGAGGTAAGATAAGGTTTAAGGCAGAAACATACTAATTGAAAGACAAGAAGCATACAACAAAAGACAATGCATTTAAAACTTAAGCCAGAGATTCAGGTATCTGTAACGGAACATTTTCTATCTCTTTCAACTGCTATGAATAATAGTTAAATGAAAAGCTGTATATTTGTAGTTTAATACAGGCAGTCCTTGAATTACAGCAGTTTAGTGACCATTAAAGTTACATCACTGAAAAAAGTGATTTCTGACACTTTTTCATACTTATAACCATTGCAGCATCACATGGTCAATATTGAGACACTTGGCAATTGACTCAGATTTATGATAATTGTAGTGTGCTGGGGTCAAGTGATCACCGTTTGCGACCTTCTAACAAGCAAATTTAATTGGGAAGCCAGATTCACTTAAGAACCGTGTTACTAACTTAACAACTATAGGGATTCACTTAGCAGTTGTGACAAGAAAGCTCGTAAAATGGGGCAAAGCCCACTTAATAACTATCTCACTTAACAACATAAATTTTGGGATCAATTGTGGTCATAAGTTGAGGATTATATCTAAATGAACATGAAAAGACAACAAATTTCCAATTTGCAAAAATTTAAATTGTCCCTTTCAAGAAAAAAATAACATGACCTCTAGATACATCTAGAATTGAAACATATGCTAGGTTAATGGAAAAGAATTTAGTAAATAGAATGTTTTTAAATAATTGAATTATTTTTCATTATCAGATTTTTTTAAATTATATTTTCTATTACAAAAAATATTCTAAAGCAAATGGACTAATATTCATATGTCTAAGAATTGAACCAGACAAGGATTTCACTTTCTTCAACTTAAATTGAGGATGCTAAATACAAAATGGTAAATAAAAAGTTCCCCAAAATTAATATGGAATCTGGCTGCCTTCACCATCTGTTACAATAGAGTGTTATCACTATATTTTCTTAATAGGATAACTTATATTAGGAAAGGAAGGAAGAATAAATCTACTAGTTCTTTTTGACATTTCATCAGCTTTCAATGTAAAATGTTATGAAATAAAATAGGAGGAGGAAGATATGTTGAATATGTTCACCTTGGGTTGTTTGTAAAAACAATAAAGGTGGGATACAAACAAACAAATAAAAAATATTAATGGTTCCAGGATACTTCTTACACACTGAACTGCAATACTCTCTCTCCTACACATTTGGACAGTTCCAGAAAAGGCTGCTTTGGTATTATCATTTCTCCCCAGTATGTTGCAGAATACCATATGTTTCACACATCAACATTCCCATTCATCTTAGGGAGGGTGGTCTAGTGTGCATTCATTTCTTTCCTCTAGATCAGCATTTGCCAACTTCAGCAGTTTTAAGATGTGTGAACATCAACTCTCAGAATTCTCCGCCAATATGCTCTAGATAGTTCAAGCAATATACACACTGAACCAGTATAAGGGCAGGGTTACAGAAACACGGTGAAAGATTTATACGATCTGAAGAGAAACCAGAGTATTGTATGAACATGTATAAAAACATAATTTATGAAGATTTATAAAAACATAATAAAAAGAAAAAAGAAACAAGGAAGACTAATTAACTGACATCAAACACAGACAAGATGACAATAATAGGAATGTTAAATGCAGACAAAATATCAACAGTGTGGATAATTCATTGGTCTAAGTAAGTGAATATGTGGGCTAATATCTTTTACATATGCTCCTCCAAATTCTGACAAGTTAGGGGTTATGGGAATTGAAATCCAAAATATATAGAGGGCACCCAGTTGCCAATTTTACTACTATCCCCACTTTCAGAATAGGAATATTGTCTGAGACTATCCTTGGATCACACCTGGCTCAAAGTATCTTTTATAGCTTAGACTGAACCAATAAGTTTGAATTTATGGGACACAGGTAATCTTACAATAATTACTCGCCCTTTGGCAATCTCTAATTTGGATTACTACAATGTGTTTTACATATATATGTGGCTACAATAAATTAATCTTTTGGAAGCTTCAGTCACTTGACACAAGTCAGTTATATTGGTAATGGGAATTAATTAGTATGATCACATTATTGTTTTATTACAGCCATTCACTATTAATTTTTATTGCAATTAACTTTAGAAAGTCTAAGCAATTTACACAATAAATCTACTTGCCACAATGTAGCATTTTGACACATTTTGACATTTATAAATCTTCATGAATTTATACAAATTCATGAAGATTTATAAATGTGAGGTTCTATTCAAGGCATGGCTATAAATCTCAACTCTTCAGACACTCAATCTCTCATTCAAAATGTTTCTTATAACAGATGCTTTACAAACACAGCCTGGTTAAGTAGTTGCTTTACTGCTAGCAAGACAGAAGACATGTATAAGGGGAAAAAGTCAACCGATTGCAACATACCAAAATCCTGCCTTAAAGATAAGTCTGTTCTAAAACTGAAATACTATTTTTTTACAGATAAATGGTAATTTGAATGCTTTGTTTGTGCTCTGGGCATTGGGAGATATTTTCTCAATGTTTATATAACAATTCCATCCTGTCTGATTACTGTTGGTTTCCACCTCACCAGATTCTTCTATGGTATTTTAAAAGATGGTTTAAAATTTCACAGTCTGAGAAAGTAGACTTACAATTTGTTAGCTGTGGGTGACACCAAATGTAACACTTTTTCTGAAAGAACCAAGAAGGGTAAAAGATTCCTCTCCCTTACCAACTCATATGTATCCTCAACATTTGTTTAAAAAAAAAGAAGCCACAAACCTTTGGACTAGATCCAGTGAGTATATTTGGGATGAAGAAGAGAAAAGCTGTACTTTTATTTATATAAATTTTGTTAGTGTCAAATTAACAAAAGTAAAAGACAAACAATACAAGACATATACGTTCATTGTCGCCTGATTACAAACTTGCTAGAAAGGTTTGGCTACCTATAATTAAAGACAAATAAACACATCACAAAGACTTTTGGCCTACATTTTCTTTATTAATGTCTTAGATTGTTTTTAGAACTAGAGTGGGGTTTTGAGGAGAAACACTTAAAGTCCTTAAGACTGCAAAACAATTATACATGACTGCCCTCTGCAGGCTAGCCATGGTTCATCTATACATAGCATTTGATTTTTTTATTATTAAAAGTCCTTTTCAGTTTTTACATTTAAGTTAATTACTAGAAACATATGTTGCATTGATCAGTTTTTTGCATAAAAATAAACATTTTATTTCTAACACCTGTTTAATTATCCATACCAGTGCACATATAATTTTAATAGAAACAATGCAAGTAGTACATTCTCTTTGAAAACATTTTGATATACATACTATAATTTAAAAGCAAAGTACACTTAAATCAACTTCCATCACTTTTAACTGAGAACAGCACTCAGACATGTATTATCTATGTAAATATAATGACATACTAAGGGTAGCTAGCACTAGACATCCCTATGACTCATATCTAGGGGGGATTTGAGTTTTGAAAGGTTTTACTTTTCATGTTCAATAAAAATATGCCTTTGGAACATCAGTAAATTGGAACAAATACTTTAAATTGCTGTTTTTAGACAGCAGCATAGAAACATTAATAGGTCCCATGTCTAGTTTTTTGTCTAAAAATGGTGAAGGAGAAAAAAAAATCAAGCAGAAAAGTCATCTCATTTATGGAATATCCCAAGCCAAGCATATGCATGTAGTCTTCCACTTCTTTACCTAATTTTCTATAAGTCACCCAACCACTTTTTTTAAAAAAAGACATGAACAACATGAACAACAATGAAAATTACCTACCTGTCTCTTGGAACATCTAATGCTGTGTTATAGTCAGGTGGCCCTCCAGGCAGCATATTGAACAAGAGATGATTGGTGCCTCGATCCCAACTAAAATGATAAAGGAAATGAAAGAAAAATATGAGCGCCACACAGAACAGGAATTTTGGACATAAAACCAAAACCAAAACAATTCTACAACAAAACAGTTAATTAAAATTAAAATATCCACGCTATCTTTATTTGTCTGATTTCTGCAGCAACTAATAATTAATCTGTTCGCAACCTTATACAAAACTATTAAGAAAGCATAAGAATCCAATTGAATGTATTTCAATCCTGAATACAGGATCATAGCTTTAATTATTAATCTTTGGGAGAAAAAGATACTCAATAATTAAGACTGAAAAATTCACTGTGATTCAATATCAAAACCTAACACAATATTTATATCCTGATTGTCACATTTTCTTATAATCCCTATTCTTGAATTCCTATTTTAGTTTTGGAAGATTTCTGGAAGGAGGTACCGGGATAATTGTGCCAAAGCCTGAGCTGTTTCCTTGATCCGCAGTGTGTTCTGGTTGAGAACATCAATGGATGGTACAAATAGACAAGCACGATTGATGTCATCTGTGTAAAAGTCACTATCAGAAATAGCAGTTAATAGTTCATTGTATTCCTTGGAAATGGTGTGACTGACTGGCATGTTGTATTCATCCACATACTTCTTTAGGGAATAAATATAGACTTTGATCTTATTCTTCGGATTGAAGCCACAGCGATAAACATCAAAACATGTGTGCATCCTGCAGCTAAGATCTCCCCGTTCTGGAATGCCACTGTCTGCAGGAATCTTGATTATAGGTACATCGTGAATGCTGCGCTTCTCTAGGGTCCATTCATTTGAGGACTCAATGGAGTGAGGCCAGAACTGGAACATGCCAGTGGCAATTAACCCCAGTAGAACAACAGAAAACAGAGCAATGTAGTAGATGCGATGTTTGGTCTTCATTCTTGGGATGAGGGCTGGACCCCGAGTGTTGTATTTGACTGACGCACACATAATGAAAAAAGCCACGTTCCCACAAGCTTCTGTAGAATAGAACACATATAAAGAAAAATTAAATGGGGGTATTTTATTATTAAATCAGTAAAACATGTTTGCGGATAAAATAAATATTACATAGATAGTTCCATTCTCCTATCCAATTTCTTTCTTTTTTAAAAAGGCACTTCTGATTTTGCTTTATATATCTATTTTTCTGGAATTCTATCTCATATAATATCAACTAGGAAAACAGATAACAAAGCAAACAGAATATGCAACAAGTATACATCCCAAATTCTGTCATCTACTCCTGTTTAGTTCTGATTCCAGTATTGCAGTGGGCATATGAGGTTCCTATCTAGGTTTAGGATTTTTTGCTAAAGCAGATCAAAAAATAAGGCATTTTCTACCCTAAAGAGGGAAACATAAATTATCAATAGAACACATTCTAATTTAAGACCATTTCAAATAATACACACATATTTTGATGTGCAGTGTTTAATGTCAAGATGGGCAGCATATACATTTAATAAATAATATTTCCTCAAAAATCCTTTTAATTACCCCACAAAGTTAAAACACCACCACAAGAGATATATTATGTCATCTTTAAGCTATCTTATGAACTTCTGTGGGTTCTCAAGTTTATGGAGTGCAGTCCTATAGTGCAACAAAGTACACACTATCTTCCTTGGAAAATTGCAGAGTAATTATTTTACACATATTATAAAATGGAGGGTCAAGGCTAATACATAGCAACCTTCTCAAAGCCACATTGCAAATGTACGGCCAAGCTACAGTCTGAGTCAAGGACTACCTGATTAAATGTATCATTTCAGCATACATTATTCATACAGTTATAGTGAACTAAAAATAGTTTTGTACTTATATAAGCCACTTCAGTTAAATTTAAGTGAAACAAAAGATAGCTTACCACATGGCCAGGATAATTTATTATTTATTATTTTTCATTTATTACAAATTTGGTATACCTCTTTAGAGACTCTACACAGCTCATAAATTACCAATTTATAATCTAAAACAGTGTGTTAATAAAAGGAGAAATCAGTTATTTTCCCCCAAGAAATAGTTCTAAGACCGGGAATCATCTAATTTTCTTATTCACTTTGATTGGAGACTAGGTGAAAGCTATACAACACAATCAAGAAGATGATTTTTTTTTACAGGAGAGGGCACACCATTGCTTTATTCAAGGTAGTGGGAACTACTCCTTCTTCAAAGAATTATTACTCAAATCCATCTAGATAACTTCTTCTCTGTGTGATGGAATAGCCAAGAGGCATAGATATCTACAGGTGGTTCTTGATTTACGACTGCAATTGAGCCCTAAATTTCTGTTGCTAAACAAGGAATTGTTAAGAGAATTTTCCCCTATTTTACAACCTTTTTTGCCAGAGTTGTAAGTGAATCATGTGGTCATTAAATGAATCTGGTTTCCCCCATCGTCTTTGCTTGTCAGAACCATCTGGAAAGGTTACAAATAGTGATCATGTGATCCCCAGAGTACAACTGTCAAAAATATGTGTCACTTGCCAGAGTCCAAATTTGTTCAAGTGGCCATAGGACGCTCCACGATAATAAATGTGAAAAATTGTTGTCACTTTTTTCAGTGCCATTATAACTTTAAACAGTCACTAAATGAATAGTTGTAAGTCGAGGGCTTCTTGCAGATCACAGGAGGAGCTCAAACCGCAGAGTACCTTATTTACATCCTCAGACTTCACAATTATTGCACACTGAAGCAGTCCTAGGCTCCATTAACAGAGGGGATAGAATCAAGATTACATGAAGTGTTAATACCACTTTATAGTGCCTTGGTAAGCCTATACTTGGAATATTGCATCCAGTTTTGGTCAACACAATATAAAAATATGTTAAGTCTCTAAAAAGAGTGCAAAGAAAAGCAACAAAGATGATTAGGGGACTGGAGGTTGAAACATATGAAGAACAGTTACAAAAATTGGGTATGTCTAATTTAATGAAAGGAAGGACTTGGAGTGACATGATAACAGTGTTCCAATATTTGAGGGGCTGCCACAAAGAAGAGGGAGTCAACCTGTTTTCCAAAGCACCTGAAGGCAGAACAAGAAGCAATGAAGGAAAACTAATCAAGGAGAGAACCGACCTGCAACTTAGGAGAAATTTCCTGACAGAAACATTAATCAGTGGAACAATTTGCCTTCAAAAGTTGTATGTGTTCCAACCCTGGAGGCTTTTAGGAAGAGTTGGACAACCATTTGTCTGAAAAGGGTTTTCCTGTTTGAGCAGGAGCTTTGAGTAGAAGACCTCCAAGTCCCTTCCAATTCTATTATTCTGTTAGCATACAGAATAATGTCATGGAATTATTATAGAATTACTATGGCTGTTTGGTGAAACTCAATTTACATAGGTGAAAAAGGAAGATTTAAGCAATTTGCACACAGCGCAGTAAAACACTAAAGAACTGGATATAAATATTGGAAAGGATAAGGACATTTGGAAAGGTTTTGAATTTTAGCCACTTAAATTAAGAAAAACAATCTGTTTTAGGTAAGAAATAGAGTCCCACTTAAAAATATTTTTCAGGCTTCATTTACCAGAACTGTTGTTTTTTTTCAAATATAAGTTGTACACATGTTAAATTTATCTATTTGAAACAGGATATCAATATAATTAAGTAATATTTTCCCAAAGTATATATAAGCAAAAGTTTGACTTGTGATTTTCATTTGAATTGTAAAAGTGGTAACAGAAATATTATATTGTACAAATCTTTCCAATATGATGCATGAAAATTTGTAATTAAAAACAGGTACTAGATGACAAAGTGACCTTCAAATACAAAATGGCAAAGCAGAAGAACTAGATGAGTAGATCATATGGGGAACATTTTGTATAATATATTCAGGGGCTGAAACAAATGTCTTCTCTAAATAATTCAAGTAATAAAATTATCTCACAAACCATTACATTTTCCCAGTTATATTTCTATTTGTCATTTAGAATTTCAATAATGGTTTGCAATAAAATAAAAGCTTAGGATTTTTTTTTACTTTGAGAGTCTTGCCATTTTTTAAAATTAGGAAATATTCATGCTTTGAATTAAGACTTTCTAATTATACTCAATTAAATACACTGTAATTACTTGTGGTGAACTCTATTTTCTTCCCAAGAATTTTCAATTCACCACACTGGGGGGAAAGAAGAACTATTTAGATTGTTCCAGCAACCATCAATTTTTTACTGCAGTCACAAACCAGAACTAAGTGTAATCCCCCCAAAATGACAATGAAAATAAATTTTAAATAAGGTTTATGTAAAATCGTATACTTAAATGAGAAATATGTTATAAGAAAAGCCTAAAAGACATTTGCTACTCAACTTCTCAGACAAGATGATTTCAAACTTTGTTAAAAGTGGTTTTTCTAAAAACGTGTTAAATGAACATAATATGGATCCATTAATAAGGAGCTCCATAAATAACTAGTACATTTTTATGTATTTCTTTCAAAAAATAAACAATTCCATGATACATATGGAAATTTCTAAACCACCCGTAACTTCAACATATCCAAAGTAGAATTACTGAAGCTACGCTTGTGCTAATAAATAACTTTAAATCATATTTTAGGTACCTTATGCCTTTTTAAAACATTTTTGCAGTCTGCAATCAAATGAATTATAAAACAGAATCATTACCCTGTACAGAATTTCTCCAAAAAGCTCCTTGATCTTGTCAATATTTTCTTCATGAAGACAGTTTAATACTTAATGTACTGTCACTATAAATCTTAACATAGTAATAAAACTAATCTCCCATTCTCTCATTCCTTATATACAGTAGAATAAGCAGGTTTCATATTAAGATCAGACATCCGAAACAAATTTTAATTTGCTAAGGAATATAGTTTCTTCCTCCGACTATACTGTCATGGAAGTACTTAATCATCTATATATTATTGGACAGAAGATAAAAGTTTTTTTCTATAGCAGTAAATTCACAAATGAGTAATAATCCATATAGAGATGATTGTATAGTTCCATAGCAATGGAATTCTGCATCAACCAAATTATAGAAAGAATTTTACTGTTAAACAAATTCTTTCACTATCAACTGAAACTTGATCAATGACTCCTTCTGCAATTTTCAGTACCAGACAGTTATACTTAGAATGAAAGATTTGCAGCTTTTGTTTGCATATCATGCTTCACTATAAATCACTGTTTCTCAATCTCGGCAACTTTCAAGAGGTGTGGACTTCCGCTCCCAGAATTTCTCAGCAAGCTGTCCTGACTGAAGAATTCTGGGAATTGAAGTCCACTTGTCTTAAATTTGCAGGTTGAGTAACACTGCAATAAGCAATTTAACCATGGTCTACCAAATTAACTCACTGTTCTGATTCATAGACTACATTATAGCTAGCCACCCAGAATTGGTTCATAGAATATATTAGGATAATGCAAGCACAGAAAAATTCAAATATTTCAGATCTTAATCTGGAAATTTAGGATGAAAGTGGTATGGACTATATATGGGAGGAGTGATACAATTGGGATTTGTTGGAAAAACACATTTGGGAGAAACTTAAGTATTTATAATTCAAGGCGTCACTTTCAAATCCTCAACATTAAAGCCATTTAAATTCAATAGCTGGATTCATAAAACATGCTAAACCATTAACTATAAACTTTCAACGACAAGGGCTAAACTACACCAAGCACAATACTATAAAATCTAGCATGCTGTATTAGCCAGGCCATCACTTTAAGGCAAGATGTGATTTGGCTCTGCTTAGCATGATGAACAAAGCCATTAATTTGTTAACAATAGTTTTATCAATGATATGTTGCACAAATAAAGCTAATAAAAAAGGCTACAGACACAAAGTGCTGGCTGGCTTTATCCATCTTTATTAGTTTTTCTACCTTCTTGATCAATGTCAAACTCTTCCTTGGATTAAAACGGAGTTAGAATAGAATAGAATAGAATAGAATAGAATAGAATAGAATAGAATAGAATAGAATAACAGAGTTGGAAGGG